ATCAACTTCACCACTTACAGAAACTGATGGCGATGGCTAATGAATTCAAACAGCAAATTTGAGTCAGGGAAAACAAAAGCAAAAGAGACATCGATTTTGTGGAGCCAAACTGTGACGGAAATCATGAGTCAGTTAAAAAGTTGGCGCAGCAATATTGACTTATTTTACCGACACTGCATAAAAATTAAAGTTCTGATGCCATATGAGAAGATAGGATTGAACTCTTCAATTGCACACACATTCAAGCTATGGAGGCTTCACTGTTGTGCACCTTTTGTTTCCCTGGAGACTCTCATCTTCCTGTAATGTCATATCATCAATTCCATCGCCATTAACATTGATACAAAATATAAAGTTCACGAAAAGATTGATATTGTTAATAAATCATAAATAGAGTATTAATTCTCTCAAAGTTTATATACTTTTTTCAATTCTTCCAATATAGTTTTTTCATATATTTTATTGTACTGCATGTAAATTTCTTTTATATTCTCATGTGGTACCTGACCTAGTTAATCAAATCTTAGTTCATCCTCGTTATTATATATTAGATAATTTGGTACAAAATTAATGATATATGCACGTACAAGTAAACATCTGATTTGTTAGCAATATCACCTTCAATTACAGAGGCGATTTATCTACTAAGGGGATTAATGGAAAAGTATCGTTGTAAAAATAAAGATCTACACATGGTTTTTATTGATTTGGAAAAAGCTTATGACCGTATACCAAGAGAAGTGCTTTGGAAAGCGTTGGAAAAAAAGGGAGTACGGATTGCTTATATTAAAGCCATACAAGATATGTATGAGGGGGTAAAAACTAGTATAAGAACGCCTAGTGGTCAAACAAAGGATTTTCCTATAAAGATTGGGCTACATCAGGGATCATCTCTGAGTCCTTATTTGTTCAACTTGATTTTAAATGTTTTGACGGAACATATTCAAAAGGAAATCCCGAAATGTATGCTCTTCGCGGATGATATAGTTCTTATAGCAGAGACAAGAGAAGAGGTTAATTGCAAACTTGAGTTATGGAGGAGTACATTGGAGTCGAAAGGTTTTCGTCTGAGTAGAAGTAAGACGGAATATTTATATTGTAAATTTGATAAAAGACTATTCGAAAATAATCTGGAAGTGAAATTGGGAGATCAAATTATACCTCAAGTGGAAAAGTTTAGATATTTGGGAGCCATTATCCAAAATGATGGCGAAATCAGTGGAGATATTTCACATAGAATTCAAGCTGGGTGGTTTAATTGGAGAAAAGCTAAAGGAGTTATTTGTGACCGTAAGGTGCCTAATAAACTTAAAGGAAAGTTTTATCGTACTGCTATCAGACCGGCAATGTTATATAGTAGTGAATGCTGGGCTCTAACGGGACAGCAAGAGCATAAAGTTGGAGTAGCAGAGATGAGAATGTTACGATGGATGTGCGGACATACACGTAAAGATAAAATTCGAAATGAGCACATACGTGAAAAAGTGAGGGTGGCACCTATTGAGGAAAAAATGGTAGAAAATCGGTTGAGATGGTTTGGGCATGTACAAAGAAGGCCAAGGGAGGCACCAGTGAGAAGAGTGGAACATATAACTTTGAGTCCGATTAAGAGAGGTAGAGGAAGGCCTAAGAGAACACTCTTGGAAGTTGTTGAACGTGATCTCTTAATTAATAATATTTCTAAAAGCTTAATAAATGATAGAGCACAATGGCGTCTTGCAATCCATGTAGCCGACCCCACCTAGTGAGATAAAGGCTTGTTGTTGTTGTTGTTGTTGTTGTTGTATCACCTTCAATTACACATACTTTTTCCATTTCATACAATTACACAGATATCACCTATATTTCATATTAATATAAAATATATAATAAACTAGTATTATTAAAAGTCAAAAACGTATAATGTAATTCATCTCAAATTTTGGGAGCTATGTAGAAAAGTATCTAATTATTTGTAATTGAACTGACTGCAGAGATTAAGGGCATTATTATCGTCTAACTGTTTAGTAAAGAAATGAAATACACACGAGAGGATATTCGAAATCGAATTTTGCTGTCCACTCGTTATATATTTTATGGAGCAGTAGTTTTCAATTTTCATGCAGGTCGATAGAGACTCTCATCTAAAGCAGTCTTAATCTCATCTTAGAATTTCAATCACACCGATCATTGATACTTTTTGATAACTTTAAAATAATGAATATCCAATCACTATATGATACAATTTTTACAATAAAAAAATAAATGTCGGGTCACGCGAAGACGCTCTGCCAGCTGTACCATTAAAAGAAGGATGGGGTGTCTGAAAAGGACATGGAGAATGGTAAGGAAGATAAGATCAAGTCAATATAATACTGCACCAACTCAACCCGTGGCTGCTTTCGTAGTCTCAAAGAGTCAAAATCCGTTCATTTGGACTCTCCGGAGGCTGCCCTTCACCACTAACCACCGAGATTCTTTTATTAATATGTGTACGACAAATAAATTTATGTCTCCTGTTATAAATTTCTTACTTGCAAAGACATTAATTTGAGCAAGTTTTGAATTACGATGTAATGTATTTTGCTTTTTTTTTTTTTCATTTGTTATCCTCTCTATCTCTCTCAATTCTTAGTAACATCGTACAATATTCATATCCTTTTAATTATGTTATTCGATCATTGCTGATCTCGTCCATCTACTGAATTAAGTGATCAGCTTGAATGTTAATTGTTAAATTGTTATTTGAGCGAATTTTATATATGACAAGTAAAAATCAAGGAAGATGTCTCATCTGGTCAGAAAACATGAATTATATATGAAGGTAAATTGATGGTGTGCGTTCAGTTCAAAGCAATAATTATTTAATGACATTGTTATCTTAAATCTTAATCCTAAGTTGGTAGATCAATCGCCCTTACGTCCCCGTGGCATTCTCTAGGAAGTTAACCATTCAGTGAAAACACATGAAAGGAATTAAAAACACTTGCAGTGAAGTTAATTGATGAGTATACGAGCGTCATGAGAATCCATCAAACTGATTCAAAACTCTCTTGGAACAGCACGTTGAATGGAGTAAAACAGCTGCACGTGCATTGGCTTCTATACGAAGGGAATTCAACTTTGAATAAAAAAGTCCAATTATTCTGGAAGCACGACCGTACATATATGAGTGGTGATGCCGTGGATTTAATTAATAATACTGGTGAGTAGTTAATTCGATGCTTATCTTGACATGTACTCAACAACTCCAGCTTGTTCATGTTCTAAATTCAACAAAATTAGGTATTCATGTGCTGTAGCTATGAATTTAGGCTGCTTACATCAAGACGAAAGCTTTCTAATAATCAATATTAGTGCATGAGTTCATTTTTCACAACGCGAGATTTCATCATTGCTGCCTACAAATACAATACAATTGTCTCGCCCTTTTTTTTTTTTTGCACAGAGGTACGGAGCCAATTATTTAGTAGATGACCATATGCAATCAAACCACGTATATAGTTAGGCCAAACAGGAAACACGCACCTACAAAGTCACAATCAAAACCCACGCAAATCTATAAATGTCGTGCCAAGTAAAGCAAGTAACGTTTTAAGTCCACGTCTAATAATTGAACTTAAAAATTCGCATGATTTAAAAGATAGATGAACAGAATTAAATCCTTTTTAAAGTCAGCATATAATATATATATTGAATATTACACGTGGCAATCCCCCTCTCTTTTTCTTTCCTCATTTTTGATGGTTGGCTGAATCTTCCATGTTAGTGGTATCATATTACGCTAGTTAACATCTTCATGTTAATATATAAAAAAATTACAACAACTATAAAGCACACAATTAAAATTTTAAAGCATGATGACACTTTAAAGAAAAATAACAGTTAGATCTTAAAAGGTTAAATTAATAATAGTTAGGTCTGTAACAAATTTTTTTTAAAAATGAGTTGTAAATATTAATTTAAATAGCTACAAATAAAAATACTTGTTACAATTAAAAATTTATATTTAATATTTAAATACTTATTTATAATTAAAACTCCTAAATTTATGATTATCTAAATAGATATTTTCAAGTTAATTTTTAAAAATTATTAGAGATTAACTGTCATTAATTTAATATTATGAGACTTACTATTTTAGTCCTATTTACAGAGTAGAGAGAAAAAAAAAATTTAATCTTATTTATAGGGCACTTATTAATTTTTAATACTCTTCTTTATATTTTTGTCCTTATTAAATATTTTGAATAATAATATCAATAATAAAGTTTAATAATATTGATTCAGGATAAAAATAAAAACTTATTAAATTTTAAGACATAATTAATAAAATTTAAAATTTTTTAATTATAATAAAATATATTAAAAATAATTTATAAATAAATTTAAAAGAAGTAACTATCATTTTTCTTTAAAACCTCTCCATTGGATTCAGGGAGAAAAGCTACTATCATTTTTTTTTTTTGGTTGAAAAAGCTACTATCAGTTGAAAATATTTCAAGTCATCATAAATGCCTTTTTGTTTTTTAACTTTGTTTTTGTCCCTCGATTTCCTTGCCTCCCACGGGAGGAGAATAAACTAATCGCCCCATTTTATTTTATAAGATATTTTTTATGTGAAAAATGTAAATTTTAATGAATTTAATCAAATACAATTTTTATTCTTATTTTTTAAAAGAAATATAAATATAAAAAATTATCTTCTATTTAACAAGAGAGAAAGAGAAACATAATATTTAAAAATAGAAATAATAAAAATAATTTTAGAATGATTTTCATTAACAAATTATTATTTTTTTAAAGATATCATGTATTATAAAACATCAAATCACTCAAAAAATCATCATAAAATGAGATGGAAAGATCAAGGGTTTTTTTTTTAATCTTAATTTGGGGCAATATTGGGCTCAAGACAACATAGTGTAGGTCCAATTTCAACACGGTTGTCGAGGCCCATAGCAAAAGGTGCGACCCGAAAACAGCATCCCCAAACAAAATGAGGCATAATTTCCGATCAAAAAGGGGAAATAAGGAGGCAGTCGCCACTTGCCTGGGAGTGAAGAAGATACCAATATTGAGAAAATTCTCAGATTATGTATTCACCCCAGCGATCGTTTACATGTGGACGAGCGGCATCCTCGTCGGACACTGAGAGATCAATCCCAGAGCCAAGGGGACTGGAAGCTTCTTTGCTGCAATTAGTTCAAGAACATAGTCACACCTCTCTCCTACTTCGCCAGCAGACCGGTCTCTTTCTCTCCTCTCACATTTCCTTTTTTCTTTCTTTCTTTCTTTCTTTCTTATTTCTGAATCGATGTATTGGAGGTTTTGGTTTTGCATTTTGTGAACTGACTTCGTTGTGTGATCGAAGCAGAGAAAGCTAAGAAAGAGGCCATAAGAAAAACTCTGCGTGTTTCGGATCTCTTGGTGGAAACCGTCAATGGCGGGGTACAAGAGTGCTATGTCATCGAGAAGCGCATTGAGCAAGAGATTCGAGCATTGTCTGCAACTATTTCCCGGTTCATGAAGCAGACGGATCAATGGCTTGTGACAACTCATGCTCTGAACACCGCTGTTAAGGTACTTACGATGAATATGATATGGTACTCTCTGCTTTGAGTGCTTTCGTTATGTTCAGTGTGTCTTTTTTTCCTTATCAATTTATTGCATTATGCTGAAATTTGATGAGGATATTTTATTTCATCACCTTACTGTTATTGTTTTTTTCGTCCTCCAAAACAGACCCCATCTAAAATTATTATAAATTTTCATCTGAACTCTACTCTAGGAAATTGGCGACTTCGAAAACTGGATGAAGATCATGGAGTATGATTGTAAAAGTATCACTGCTGCAATCCATAACATTCATCAAGAGTGATCATGTGTGCGGTGAGTTGTCAATTTGTCATGCAAATGACCGTGACATGTTCTCCTTACCCTTTCAATTATGTATTAATCTATTGGATTGCATTTGATTTTGTGTTCCATTGGATTAACCATTTTAAAGCTGCAGTTGATTGGTACCATAATTCTGAATGCGACTAACCATTTGACAAGCATAAATTACACGAGTCTTCTGCAGCACTAGAGAACAAAATATTTTTTCCTTGAATTATTTATTTTTGATGTACTTGAGCACCCCCGGTTTTGTGTATTTAAATAATGGCAAGATATTATATAATTTTGACTAGATGTTTCCGAATCACTTATGAGAATTTCACTTTCCGTAAAGAAGTACCCATGAAATGTTCCTTTATCCCGCCACATATGTATGATTTTGTACAGTTGGCCCAACTTATGGTTTATAGTTTTTCCCTCTCAGCTTTGATTTAATTTTATAGAGCATATTGGTTTTGTTTAGAAGAAGATGAGAAACGAAGACGTAATAATCACTAGAATGGCTTATTCTTTTTATCCGTGATACAGCCAGAATGGCTATATAATGAAACAGCAAACCCTCTAAGGGTGGTGAACAGAAGAAATAATCAAACCCTTCCTTGAAGCCTGAATGGTGACAGTTAACCCCAAGATCTCCTAAGGGTGACACACAGAGGGCGCGAACAACTGAATAAACTTCCACACACCTAATTCACTAGCTAATACCCTTTATTTAGGTAGGGTCACTGGAAAATTAACATATGATCTTAACCAGCTGATACAAGATCAATCCTAATATCTCCAATAGGTTTACTTGATGTGATCACATAGTTCCCTGAATGCAAATATTATCTACTTCCTGGCAGCTGAGGGGAGTATAATTGGTTTTCAAAGCAAGGTGTGAAATGTGAATTAATGATTGCTGGAGCAAACATATCTATAATCTCTGAATTGAATTAAGCCTCCCTCTCATGAAAAATGGCCATTTGCGTGACATCCTATACCACAGTTCTAGGGTGGATAATGTTCCTCGGAGATACCTGTACTGCCCTCCACAAACACCAATTTACTGTCACTGCCTCTGACTTCTCAATCCAACTTGGGCCAGTACCCTGGGAGAGTTGAGCTCTGCGCCCGTCAGATCATTTTGATGTTCCTTTGTTTGTCTTGGAATCTGTGAAAGCAATATTTTATCATCACATACAATTTTGAATGAGGATCACAGTGGAGAGCTTGACTACTAGAACGTTTCAATACCCCTTGTTTACAGAACTGAGTAGCTTAGACATAAATGATCATTGATCTCTAAACTCGATAGCTAGAATTTAGATCTACTATTAGAGGGGCAGACACTTGCTAATTCTTCACATGTACATCAATTCTGTTCATTAATATGTTCAAGTATTACAGATTAAAATAAAAAATAAAAAATGCTTTGCCTTCGGTGGGGATTTTAGCCTCTAAAGTTTAGCTACTAGTTGCTTTTAGCTATAATCTGAAATAATAAGAAAGAGCCAAACAAAGATTTCCACAAAAAGGAGACAAAGTGTCCCAAGACATATTGTGTTCAGGCGTCTTAATAGCCCTTAAATGCAGTGTTCGTCATGATGGAGCTGGCCACTTGATTTATGGAATATTGACATACAGTGCGATTTGATATCATTGTAATGACCTACGTTGCGTGTCTAATTAAAAAGTGTGGGTCAAATTAAAACCAAAACAAGCCCAAGCAGCACCCGTGGCTGAATATTTTTAGTGCTGAATATGGTATGGAATTTGAGTCAACCTCAATCACTCTGGTTTTAGTCGTGTTCACAATCATTACAAGCCAAATGATGTATAGAATGGAAGAGCTGGACGGTTGACATGTATATTTGGCTGAAACCAGAGGAATTTGATACTGAAACCAAGGTTTCATACTAATTTTTTGCGGTTCAATTGGCGACATCTATTTTATGGCATCTTGGTAATGTGCATTTACTCTGGAGTGCATACTAACATTTGGGCCTCGTTTTTGTAACTAGTCTCTTATGTTGTTGGGATCTTGACTTTCATCGTTGTTGATATTAACTCAAATGTAGGACTTCGTGTATGTATCGTCTTTGAATTTATTGGGTTGTCTGTGACTGTGATTGACTATTTGATCATATTGCTACAGTTTACAACCAATAAATAAGCCCTTGTTTCTAGTTCTGTATTTCTTTTGGTTTCGCAAGGGATGCATAACTGGGAAAGTAAGAGACGAATGACGGTAAAGACTAAATTTAGCACACCAAACTGTGACCTGGACATTTACAACTAAGACAACTGTTATGAGACAAGATATCAACTACAGGCAGTAGGTCTCCGTTTTATTATGGGCTAGGTGTTATCTCTAGAGTCTGCTTGAGAATACTAGTTGGCTATTGATCATTATTTTTAATTCATGGCCTTCTTTCTTGACGGTGCCTCAGCCTTGAAAGAAGGGATTTTTTGCACCCTTGGTGGGACATTTCTATTCTAATAAGGGATTATTCATGCACTGAATTTCTCTTCTGACTTATCTCCCTAAATTCAGAATTTTTTAAGAAATCATGGTCATTTTGCTTATCCAACTGCTAGTAAGATAGTATGTCCTTCTTATGCTTGTTCAACTCAATATTATATGTTACATGGCTCTATCAGGTTTGTGTTTGCGAAACCCGGAACGGTTTCGAGATGAAACTGAAAAAAAATAAAAAATGGTGGATAAATCCAAAGTTCCAAGTTAAGCCTGTTAATGTGCAGAACACTCCAAGATTGCTTAACATAGCATTTGTGATGATTTCTTCGTGTTTACTGTACCCCCTCCTGATTGTAGGGAGTTGATTGACCTTGATGATTTTCTTAATGTACCTTGATTTTTTCAATCCTCTAATTAACAAAAGAGGGGAAATAACATATCAACTATAACTATTGTCCAACCAATCACGGGATTTACGTAATTTACTTCCCAGTTTGGGCAAAAAGAAAAAAAAAAAAAAGCCTCTGGCATTCAGATGGGAACTGCAATGATTCAGATTTAACTTTGTACATATGTTGATATTGATGAGAAGAAATTGGAGAAACTGTTTCATGGTGAAAAAAATGAAATTAATTGTACTTGAGCTTGCGCAAGAAGCTACAGTGATAATACATTAAGCTCTTGTTTAATACACACACCATTGGTGTTTGATATTATTAAATTCGTTGTTACCGCGTGCACCGTTCCGAGGGATCTTCGTTGACCCTGAACGAGTCTATTCCTCACCTTGCATGTATATTTTACCCCAAAAAGAAAGAAAGATGGCGGTACAGATTAATACCATTGGGATACAACATTCTTCATGGCATTCAAAAATCTTATTTTATTACCGTTGAGATTATGAACTTTTCATTTTTATCTTTATACTTATTTTTTAGGAGTGTTAGCTATTTTATGCTTTTAAGTGAGAAAAATTTTTTTGTTAAACTATTTTTTAAAAAAGCAAAAATGCCTTTCTGTTAATGGGCCTTGAAGTCTTTTGTATGTTTTCTGATGTGGCATGACATGAGACCGAAGCAAACTCCATTTGACCCTTTGACATGGTTAACCGTCATTTTTTCTAACCAGATACATGGCTCTCTTCTTTATTGTGATGCATCTTAAGTCTAGAGGAAAAATGACATATACATAACATTCAAATCAGATCGATGCACTTAATTCCACGGAAAATAGAATCCGAAACTCGATACACTAAAATCCACATATGTCGAACAATATGCTCTCTAAAACTAATTTCATCTTGATCCCATTTCAACTATGAAGCCTTCTTGGTTTAGCTTCAGCTCCTCTTGACCTCTCCAAATCATCGTCGATAGTGGAAAAATACTTCCCCTTTCATTCAAGAACCTTTTGAGCCTCCATGGCCCTTCGTCTGGCCACATGCACACACTCCATGTAATCATCATCTACTTCTATATCAACTACAGAATTGACTTCAAAAAAGGCAATTCCTGCACTGAATTAAGAACAAATTATTGGCAATAGATGCAAAAAAAAGAAGCGAACTTAACAAATAAACTAATTTCACAAAAGACTAGCCCATCACCCTTGACTGTTATCATAGAAAGGAAGGAACTTTGCCCTTTAGAATTGAAGAAAAAGTTGTCTAACCGTGATATCCGAAGATGGTATCCAATAAGGAAGAACAAAGTGACAACCAGTAATGGGTTACTGTTGTCCTTGTCAGAGGTCATACAAAGATGAAGCCACTAACCGAAGTTTTTAGCCACCATAGCAAGCATTTTAGGCTTTTACACTACTAAATTTTGGGCATTTTGGCCAGTTTTTCTATGTTTACATTGATGGCTCCCTCATCTTGTTTGAACTTCGTTCAAGGAGCATACACGAGCTGAAACGCCAGAACCAAGGCGGGCAGGTTTATACTCTACCCTTCCACCTCTAACCATTGATCTATGGATGCCTTCGCCAAGGGGTCGTGCCATACAATGCCTTGTTCCGCTTCTTCGGATGCTTCTCGCAAATGCATTGACATATAGGTCTCGACTCTGAATTTATGTGGCTTGAAACAACAAAACAAATAGCACATTGGGGAATAACGACAAAAGTAAGAGAACTTGAAGCGCTTACCGAAGAGGGAGATTCTCACGTTAGAGGTCAAAGAAAGTTATAGGTTGGGTGCCAAATCAAAAGATAATGGGCCCCTGCAATGACAGGTAACCAGAAAATGAGAGAACAAACAGCATACTAACAGAAGAGTATTTTTTCCACTCAGAATTAGACGTTAACCCTTTTTTACTCTTTACAATGTGGCATGAGAGAGTTGTTGTTGTTGTTGTTATCATTATTTTTGTTGATATAAGCATGAGAGAGTTATATTAGACTAAGAGCATGCTTGGCTTCATCTTAAAAATGGCTAAAAACCAAAACCCGCATTAAGATTAAAAAGGGGCAATGCAAGAATTTAACTTGTATGCATCACTAGCTATTCTTTAAAAACTGAAGTTGAAGTGCCACATGAAGCAAAACTCCTGACTATTGAAATTATTGTTTCATACATCTGACTTTCTCGATTTTATTTTCTAATACAGCATGATCTGCATTGTTTTTCCCCAGATAAATTAAAGAACTACTCTATAATTTTTTTTTGGCAAAAATAAAGAACTACAAGTTGCTTACACGTTTGTGACATCAATTGATTTCAGCTACCAAATTATAAAATTATGTAAGAGCCGTCCTTCCCTCCCTGTTTTTTTCCGGGGGTTTTCTATGGGCAGAACATGCAGTTATTTTCATTCGACTTCGTCAACAGAAATTGCTCGGTTCCGGCTGGTTGCCAGCTCGTTGTTAAATTCTAACGTAGACAAAGTCAGTTCAACAAAAAGAGAAAAAAAAAATTTATCCCAAAAAAAAAAAGGAAAAAAAGAAGGAACTAATGGTAATTAAACTTCTGATAAAATTTTAAAAAATATTAGAAAGTATCCTCAAAGACTACAAACAAGAATCTTCTTCAAAATTTGAGTTACATTTAAAATTTAAATATCTCATCTATAATAATTAAAATTATTGAATTTGTGATTGTTCGAATATACTTCCAACTCATTTTTTAGAATCTAACTACATTCTTTCAACATAAAAATTCATCACTAACATATAACGCATCAGATTATCATATATTATAATGCCCCACCATATTCCAGTCCCATGCCCTGATGCACCTCCAAAATTTTTGCTCATTTTTTAATTACATTCTGACATTTGGCTTTAATAATAATAATAATAATAGAATCGTCGCGGTTTGGTTGGGTTAAAAATTGTAATATATTAAATGTGATTTTATTTGATCTAGTCGATTCCCAAAAGGAATGAAACAAAATTTTGTGAAGTTGATTATTTCATCATTGATTGAACTGGTAAAAAAAAGTTTTTAATGCTTTTGTCTGAATAAATATTTTAATATTCGGAGATAAATGTTTATAAGAAACAAACTCAAATTAATTAGCCCTTTTTTAATCAATTTTTTGTTTTATAATATACATATTAATTTAATTTTAAATAAGACATTGAAGTTGTTAAATTTTTAGTAGGTTGCAGTGATCATATAGCTAATGTTTATCTTTTGTTACAAAAGAGAGTTTGAACTCTTAATTACTAGCACAGGTTTTCCAGTCTTGACATCTTTTGTCATTATTATTTAACATCGTTTACTTTTTATTTTTTAGTCATAAAACTATTTTTATTTAATTTATAAATTTCTTTTCGTCATAATTTTTTTATTAATGACTTCTTTTCATCATGTTAATCATACACCTTACTATCCTTTGGTTTTAAGTTAGATAATGGATCAACATGGCGTGGAATTAAGTTCCATTATTAAATTCCTCCATATTTTTGTATACATATCATAACTAGAATAGCAATAACTACCAAATTTTCGCGCTTATTGGTTAGCCGAAAATGCTCGTCACATGCACGGAGCAATAACATTTTATTCCGACTTTCTCCCTTTGGGTGTATAAATTTTGTAGATCATCATTGTCGTATATATTAAGCTAAATATTCCGAGGGGATCCCTTTCTCATGCAGTCTTTTTCACAGCCTTTATTTATTTTTTTAAAAAAGGGTTGCGACAATTGAAGGACGATGATCATTCTCAAGCAAACATTGCATCTGGGTCAATGCTATATTAAATAACACGAATGATTAATTAAATAGATAATCCATGCAATAAGCAAACGAATTAATATCATATTTATGAAGCGACGACTCAGCCAGCCGTTGCCCGCCGCACTCCCTTCTATTTAAACCCATTTCCAAAACCTTACGACATATACTCACAAACTCAAAAAGCCAATCGATCCCTTATCATTATATCCTCAAAGCCATCAATTATGGCTTCTCTAAATCTTCAATCTTTTTTCGTGCTTCTTTTGCTCAGTTTAGTCGCGTACAGTACCTGCGCTCAGCTCACTCCTGATTTCTACGAGAAAGTATGCCCTCAGGCTCTTCCAATCATCAGGTCTGTCGTTCAACGCGCAATCCACCGTGAACGACGCATGGGTGCTTCCTTACTGCGTTTGCACTTCCACGACTGCTTCGTCAACGTAAGCTATAGTTAAACGACACCCATATACTGTTCTTACATATGTCGCTTAATTATTCTCATGATGAACTCAATTAATGTTAGTGTGTGTGTACAGGGATGTGATGGATCGCTTCTGCTAGATGACACTCCTGCCTTCATTGGGGAGAAGACAGCCTTCCCAAATATAAACTCCGTCAGAGGTTTCGAGGTGGTCGATCGAATCAAAGCAGCTGTCGACAAAGCTTGCAAACGGCCTGTCGTTTCATGTGCTGATATCTTAGCTATAGCAGCTCGTGATTCTGTCTCAATCGTAAGTACTAGCTAGGTCCATATTATCTGTCTCTGTAGGCTTTTGAGTTTCATACACTCTAACTTGATACATTATCAGTAATACTTATATGTTTTCAGTTGGGAGGTCCACTGTTTCATTACCCAGTACTGTTAGGGAGAAGAGATGCAAGAATGGCAAGCAGAGACGCAGCGAACACGAACCTTCCTCCACCATTCTTCAACTTCTCACAGCTTGTCGCTAATTTCCAGTCTCACGGGCTAAACCTCAAGGACTTGGTCGTCCTCTCCGGCGGCCACACCATCGGCCAAGCTCGCTGCACCACCTTCCGAGACAGGCTCTACAGTGACTCGAACATAGACCATAGCTTTCGAGCCAGCTTGACGTACACTTGTCCCAGAATCGGAGGGGACGACAATCTTGCGCCATTGGATTTCACACCTGCAAGAGTTGACACTAACTATTACAGCGCTCTGATCAAGAAGAAGGGTCTTCTTCATTCTGATCAAGAGCTGTTTAGGGGAGATGGTGGTAAAAGTGACAGACTGGTGAAGCTGTACAGTCAAAACGTGTTCGCTTTTGCTAGAGATTTTGGAGTTTCCATGGTCAAGATGGGTAACATGAAGCCTCTTACAGGATATGAGGGTGAGATTCGAGTCAATTGCAGAAAAATCAACTAAATAAAACTGGACAACTGCGCGCTAGAGATATCATGCCAAGTCAAGAATGCTTCAGATTATTCATTAATTAAATAAATTGAAGGATGTCTAGACGAAGTCAGTTGAGTATTCAGTTGGTAAGTGTAATTAATTATATATGCATGAGATTTGTGTGCTTCAAGTTTCAACAAATATGATAATTACTGGCCTTCATGGGCCTGCAGTTAATTTTTTTTCATGTAAAAGCATTGCTTATATATTAGTTTACGTGTAAAATCATGCAAAAATCAGACATACATTCCATGAATACAGGCAAAATTGGGGAAAAAGGACCAAGGTCCTTCAAGTATATGAAAATTAAGTAAATTAAAGTTACAATGTTAATTCACTTGAATAATCTTGGTCCTTTTTTGGTAAATATATCTACATCATGGTCCTCAAATATCCCTACCAATTTCTCATGGATATATTCACTGTAATTAATTTTGAGTAAAGAGAACGACAGAGAACAACCGCTATTTATATGCATTGATAATTCTGAGCTTTTCATCTATATCTTGTCAACTGCTACCACTACAACTAAAAAATTTCCTTGTTGTGGGAACTTGTCCCCAATCGCTCCCTCCAATGAGGTTTGCCCTTCACATGCCATGGCGTGACGCAGTTGAACTTTTCTAAGTTTGGGAAATCTTTGCTGTTTATTTGTTAGAAGATATAACTCCGTATGCAAGGATTAAAGTCAGGGTAACAATTTTGATGCAGAGAGTATATAACTAATTAATTTTTTTCAGAAAATACATTTAGTCATACGTATATAGAACATATACTGTTTATTTTTTGAATCCGCTGCCTACTCTTACTCCAGTTATTCATTAATCAGATTAATTCTCATTTACTACAGCGCCCTTATATTGGATCCTACATTAGAATAGGATCCCTTTAATTTTTTTTATTTTTATTTTTATATTAATATTTGCTTCCCCCTTTTTTCATTTTTTTCTTTTTTTTGTGAGCGAATTCCTTTACGTACTCCCAGGGAGGACAAGGAAGTAATAAAGCATATGAATGACAGCATCGCAAAAAAATAAACAAACAAATAAATAAATAAAATAAAAGGCATGCGTATGATTGTATATACGGGTCTGGTTTCGGAACTCATACATATGCGGAAAGAAAAGGTTGAGACTTGAGAACCTGATATATGCTTTGCCCTTTTTTTTTTTTTTTAAGAAAATCCTCATGAATTTTTCAAGTTTCACTTAAAAGCAAGCACAATACGTTGAGAGGCATATATATACGACTGGAAGAAGGAGAAACTTGTGTTGTAAGAACGCTAGCTAGACAGTGGAGGGAAACAAATCATTACTAAATTTCGAATAAAACCAAACCAGCACATCCATCTCCGTTTTGAGGGAGAGCGTATGCATGAGAATACGTTACAACTTAGACGATCATTAATTACTTGTAACTGGATCCACATAATACGCTAGCAAACACCAGAAAAATTAAACATGGAATTACTAGATAACAAACATAACAAATTAAAACAGAGCATGTTCTGCAGATGAATCATCATCGTCATGATCAGTTAACCTTGCGGCAATTAGTGCGAATCTGACCACTAGAGCCGGTCAAAGGGCTAAGGTTTCCCATCTTGACCATAGCAGTAGCAAAGTCTTGGAAGAAAGACGAAGGGTTGGTGCTGTAGGAAGTGACCTGAGAGTCGGTGGAGCCACCACTGAAGAGCTGTTGATCCGAATGAAGAAGCCCTTTCTTGTTCACCAAGTTCTTGTAATAAGCGTTGTCGAACAGAACATTGGTGGTCACATCCAGTGGCGACAGGTCGTCGTCGTTGCCAAGGCTAGGACACTTGGATTTCACTGACGTTGCAAAGTCTGTGTCAATGGTGGTTTCGTTGTATATCCGACCTCGGAATAACTGGCATCTCGCTTGTCCCGTTGTGTGAGCTCCTACGTAAGCACGTGCATGCAAATTTCAGGATGATTATTAAGGTTTCAGCTGATCAGCTCCTTGAGAAATTAAGTCGAGAAGTTATGCAAATTTACCTGAGAGGGTTACCATTTCCTTTGCGGTAAAACCCTTATCGGAAAAGGCTTTGATAAGGGCATTGAGATCCATTAAAGGAGATGGAATATCCTGAGTGGCTGCATCTTTACTTGCTGTGGTTGAGTCTCTTCTGCCTAACTCTACTGTCCATGATGGCCCACCCAACTAGGAAATTATATATATTTTTACAACACGGTGAGTTCGAAGTGTGTAAATATCAACTTTCTGCAGAAATCGTATGATTCTCAATAATGAACTTACAGATACAACAGAATCACGAGCTGCAACAACTAGAATATCAGCACAAGAAACAACTCCTGGACAAGCAGCCTCCAACTTGGATTTGATGTCGTCGATCACTTCGAAACCTCTCAGGGAATTCGTGTTTGCTGCTGCTGTCTTCTCCCCTGTGAAGCTCGACGTGTCATCTAACAGCACTGACGCGTCACACCCCTGTACAGAGATTAAATTTCATTTCATCATCCACACAGTTAATTGAAATGTGTAGCCGATGATCATGATCATCTAGAAGTTTAAACTCAATTCTTCTGGGGCAATTCAAACAAAGAGGTTTGTCTGTTCTTAACACGTCAACTCATAGTTTTCAGGCAATAAAAGAGCTATCATGACAATGTTTTTCTTCCTAGATCCATCCCCTGCCCAACACTATTACCAAGTTTTCTGAAAATTCAAATTGACTTACCAGGGCTCAAGAATTAACTTGACAGACTCTAGAACTGTATATAGATTAGTTCACTGATAATCAAGGATTGGAAAACCAAACCATAAATACCAATATTTCGATCCACACAATATATAGTGTTATTAATCTTAACTACTTTTGTGATTACACAATGTTGATATGAATGGGCATGAATGAGCTAGATAATAGATAGATAGATAGAGAGAGAGAGAGAGAGAGAGAGAGAGAGCGAGAGAGCGTGCATTGACAAAGCAGTCGTGGAAATGGAGACGAAGCAAGGAAGCGCCCATGCGATGCTCTTTGTAAACTGCACTGACCACAGCAGATCTTATGATGGAGAGAGCCGTGGGGCAAGATGTGCCGTAGAAATTTGAAGTTAGCTGACCACAAGCCAACCCAAACACCATCAATAACACACACAAGCAAGCTTTGTAACAATCTGAGACAGCCATTTTCGATTGAGTCATCACACACCACAATCTCAGTGATGTTTCTGCGTTTGCACTTGAGGAAAACAATCATCCTCGAGGCTTTATTTATAGTACTGAATCGAGGCATGCGCGCTCCATATTGGACATTCCCCACTTAGAAATTAAAATATTTGGTCAAATCCTGGTACCTTTGGTGAAAGCATATATAAATCTCCATACAATATTTCTTTTCTTCATCAACAATAATTCATCAGTACCGCATTATATTATTTAAAAATTCTGTCTACGCAATGTTTATAGATACAGTATTTTACTAGGTACAAAGAGCTAGCCATCAAATAATAATAATAATAATAATATGATCTGCTAGAGATTCATGATAAATAACATTATTATTATGAAAGATGACTCAGATGTATTTACGTATTATTTACTATAGACTCATATAAATAATGGGATTTAGGCTGAATCTTTGCCAAATCAATCTTTGTTAACTGATTTTGTATATATTCAGGATTTACGCATTAGCTTGTTTACAGAAATGAATCAAAAGTACGATTAACTACTCACATTTGAACTCTCTTATTAGCTTGTTAATATTTTAAGAAACGCCACATCAGAAGAGACGGATATTGACGCTACACTATGTACGCATCATCCAAAGAGAAGGGCGTGGCAATATCTGCTTTGACTAATCAAACTGGTTTGATACCTTTCCATTATTAATATCCATCAAACATTTCATAGAAAGCCACATGCATGTAACGTACAAATATATATACATACATATATATATATATAATATAATATAACAAAATATAATATACATTGCGTAAGTTTCAGAGTGCCATTAATTTAAGTTATCACTTTTGTCATTTTCTCTTTTATGTAACTACTACCCCAATAGCGGTGTCTTTTGCAATACCAAATCCCAAAAAGTTTATGTACACGAAGTAAAACACTTCATTAATTTTCTTTAACGTGGCTGAAGAAGTCAACTTTAGGCAGTACACATATGAGAGAGGTTTAGGTATAAAACTATAAATGTACAGTTAAGGGTATCCGACTATCTCGCATGGTAGAACATTGCCTAATGATCAGCGGTGAGTGTACTTCCTCCAATTTTTATTACAGTACAATCATTTCACATATTTTTAAAAAAAATAATTTTTTATGTCATAAAAAAATATAGATATATTTCTATCTTTATTTTTTATTTTAAATAATAATATAATTACATTAAATGCTTTTACGTTAATAAAAAAGTAAAATTAAAAAAGTAATTTAATTATTATAATATGTCATATTTTAAACTAAAAATTATTTTTATTAGGTGTGGTCTGGAAGGAGTATATGTTCAAATTCCCTTTCTCTTTCCTCCATGTAGGACCATTGCCAATGAAGTTGTGTTTGGCTTCTCTACAAATCTATTTCAGGTTGGTTTTTGGAAGAAATGGCATTAAAGGTCTTAAAAAAAAGTTTATTATACTTAGGGCTTAAATCAATCTGAACTTGCTCTATAAGCCTAGAACTCTAATTGCAATATTATTTCACACCAAAATACAATTTTATCCTTTGTTTGATTTGAATTTAGAACCTATGCGAACCCTCGAAGCAACAGAATAGATCATATACGACACAACATCCACTAAGTACAAGATGATGTCTATATATGCTCAACAGAAAGTTTATAAATTTTGAATATTTTACTAGCTTAGGCTCTAACAAAAGTGACAAAGCAAACTATGCACAATACAACATCTACTATACACTAGACTATGTCCACGTATGCTCAATAGAAAGTCCATGTATTTTGAATATTTCACTAGTCGAGGCTCAACAAAATGACAAGTTAGGCAAACCATACACGAGCAACATCCACTATACACAAAACAATGTTCACGCATGCTTAATAGAAAGTCTATGCATTTCTAATATTTCACAAGCCAAGGCTCAACAAAAATGACAAATTAGACAGACTATGCATAATACAATATCCACTATGTACAAGACGATGTTCACGCATGCTCAACAAAAAGTTCATACATTTTCAATGTTAAGAAAGATAATTACATCAAATATGTAGAATTTCACATTGGTACTAGCCTAACTACTGAAACAAGTACCCACATAAAATTTGACATAATATTTCAAGTCTAATATATACAAAAAGCTAACCTCTATATTCAAAACATCTAATGATTGCTTCTCTATATACAACCAAAAAAATATCTGTGATTCTCAATTACCAAAAAAATATTACTTAGGAATGCTTCTATATACATAATTATAGTTTTCTACATACATCAAAAAGGAACAATGTGACTACTTCTCATGCTAGGTTAAGATTCTTACATGTCTTGCCATTGTGTTCAGCCTCCCCATATCTTGAACAATGATAAATCTTCTTTTATTTTAATCTACAATGAACAAATTAAACTAGGTAAATATCTACATATAGAAACCCAACTTTTATTTTACACAACTCAAAGTTAAACATAAGCAATTCAAAGTTCATTTTTACATAGTAGATATTCTAACATCTTTGACGGCAAATTTTCTTCACATTGAGAGTCATATTTTATTCAATTCACATATCAAAGTCTAATATGAACAAGTCAACCATCACTATTGTATGATAATTAATTCACTCTAAAACTTTTATAGCCAACTTAATGATTTAGCAATCTTTAGCTTATATTAATAGATTAGGTTTAACAAAATGTACAAGTAGACAAACAATGTATAACAATATCCACCATGCACAACATAAGATTCATATATTCTTATTTAAAAATTTATATAATTCTACTTTATCAGTAGGCTAGACTTAACGATATGCTCAAATTAGACAAATAGTGTACAACAAAATATTCACTATGCACAACATAAGATTCATATATTCTTACTTAAAAGTCATATGATTCCAATTTATTATTAGATTATGCTTAATAAAATGCACAACTCAACAATCAACAACTCAAAGTTTATTTTTGCACAACAAATACTCCAACATTTTTTATAACAGATTTTTTTTATATTGGATTATATTTTATTCAATTCACATGTAAAAGTATAATATAAATAAGTCAACTATCATTATTATACAACAACTAATCCATTGTAAAACTTTCATAGTCAAAATGGTTCAGCAACTTTTAGCCTATATCAACATTAAAATCACAAATAAGCAAGTAAATTTGCAGGCTTAAACATCTGTGCTTCACACAAGATACTTATTACAACTTCAACAACTAAAAGACACACATGCACTAAATCAATAAGGGAGAAACAAAATTGAAGATCCTTACCTCTAAGCAATAATGATAGAAGCTTCAAAAAACATACGATGTCGCTCGAATCAAAAAGATGAAGAAGATCAATAATGGCTGGCGATGTCCAAGAAAGAGAGGAAAAATCTTTGACTGTGCTTCATCTATCAACACCTATGACTTTTACACTCATCCACGTCGACGAAAATTGATAACGACAAAGCGACGATTAGTGAAATGGGAAAGAAGATAAGAAAAACAGTGAATCATGCTTCATTTGTTTTGTTTGTTTGAAGGTTCGTGCATCATTTTTGATTTAAATGGAACAAAGGGTAAAATAGTATTTTTGCTCTAAAAAAATATTGCAATTAGGGCCTCAAAGCAGAGTAATTTCAAATTGATTTAGGCCCTAAGTATAATAAACTCTGTTTTTAGGCTCTTAATGTCATTTCTCCTAGATTTTTTTTTTTGAGAGGAGAGAAAAAGTATGAAAGAGAACTGATTATTTATTGATATTTTATTTTTTTAATACACTAATTAATGTGCAGGGTGTGATCAATAAAAAATTTAAAAGTTAGATTCTATGCTAACCATACAATTTGGCCCCAAAATCTATTTAATTTACGAATGCATGAGATCGACTACCATCTTCTTCTTTTTTTTTTTGGGAAAACAATTCATGATGAGTTACATTTCTACTTAAAAATTAATTATTTAATCTAGACAAATCGAATATCCTTGCTCATAATTAATATCACCATTTTTACATTTATTTACATGTATAGAAAAACTAACAAAGAAATGGAGTCGAGAATTCTATGTGCATAAATTGTGGTAACTAGGAAATTTGGAGTGTGAACGAGTAAATAGAAGGGAATCAAATTGAGTCAAATATATTCTGCATATAACCGTGGACCCAAGTTCTGCAAATCCGCCGAACTTGAGAACATTCAGAATGTTTAATTTCCTTCAACCAGGAAATCTTGGACGCGCCACTACTGCGCAGAGTTAGTGTCCAGATCACAAATTATGATGACACAGTGGTAAGTCGCCAAATACGAACGGTTTTTGTGTATAGTCTAAAAGGTTCATATTTGAATCCAATTTGTAAAATGACATCTAATTAAGAGTATAAAATTATATTATTAAGTCAAAAAATAAAAATTAAAAATTAAAAACAGAGAGAGACTATCATTGTATGTATATTTCCTTGAAGTCTGTTTGGGTGGAGTTGTGTGCGTGTAGGTTTAAATAGTGACTGATACCTTCCCCTTAACAGCAATAATGTATGCTACAAGACAAGATTGGTGGTTTGAAATGGAAATTTGGGGTTAGTTGAAACTTGTTTGCAAGTAAAGGCATATGTCCTCCCCCATTGGGCATTCACTTAATATGCAAGAGTGCCTACTATATTTGACTACATATATCTACCCACCTTCCCACTACACCCTCAACTTCGCCCATGCCTCGCCCCTCTTTTTATTATTTTTCACCTTTTCAAACCTTTCTTTTTTTTTTTTAACTCTTCATAATGCTTGCATTTTTATTTTTGTTTATATTTATCCTAAAAATTTTTGTAATTCTATTTGTTAATCACAGATTTAAGGATTCACTTTTGACTTTCATCGTTTCTGCATCTTTTCGTTTGAGATTGAATGATTTCAGGTTTCAACACCATTGTTTATATCATCCTCTTATCCTTATTGATTGGGTTACTTCAGCTTATACGACTCCTGCATTACAATTTTCTTCTAATTAGTAATCAACTAGTCATAACTCGTAAGATTTAAATATATTCTGTACTGCTAAACAA